GGATAAGGATGACAAAAGAAGAGGATCTGGCGAGAGCGCATCAGGGAATATTGCAAGGATTTGCGGGAAGTACAACAAAGAATTTGAAAATCCAACAAGCCTTTCATCTTCATTGAGGGTATGATGAGGGGGTTTAAAAAATGCAGTCAATTCAGGAGTGAGAGAGGTAAGCGTAACAATAGCATGGCGGTTAATAGCTCTTGAGACATTGATGTATGCTTGTTGTGGAACATCAATCCGTGATTTGGTCATTGCAGGATGTTCTCTCCAATCTACAATGACCAGTGAAGCGAGCGTTTCACCTTGGATTTTGTAATTTGTTGTAGCAATTGCAGAAATGAAAGGAAACTGTTTCGGGTACAATTTACATGTTCTTTGTGGATTTTAAGGTGTCGGTGGAAGTTTGACATGCACTGGTCGTTTTGCTCGTTGCATGAGAACTGGATAAACATTCGCACATAATTGAATGGAGTATGGAAATGGAAATGAAAGAGATGTTTTTTCTATCGTACAAGGAGACGAGAACAAGGTCAAGAGGTTGGTTAGGGAATAAAACGTCAAACCCTCCGCCATCATCATGGACCTTGCGAAATTGTGTCGTTGCAGGGAATTGTAAGGAATGCGAAACTCCAAAGGTGCCATTGGCGACACCGTGTTTAGGATCAACGTTTTGAGTGAATAGTAGTGACATTGTCTGCACTAGGTTAAAAAAAGGTGCATATTTTTCTAACAGACTGTCAGACAATGACATGATACATCGAACATCCTCTTTTGTTTTGTTTTGCAAAGTGTTACCGAACTCGGCAAACACTCGAATAGGGTAATGTGAGGAAGGCAGGTTTTCGGACAAATGTTTAGTAAAAGAATGAATAAGGTGCGTTCGCGTGTCATTATCAGGGGTTGTATAGACCGTCGTGCAAGAGGGTTTTCAATGCTGTGAAGAAAATAATGGTGAAGCTTCACAAGGAGAGTTTTTCGGTTCAGGGAAAAAATTTGTGGAGATAACTCGACTATTGACAAAAACAAAATCGGACGTCCAATTACCTTTTCGTGCATGGGAACAACCAATACCTCATTCTGGATTCGAATTGAAACGTATGCATTCATCAAGAATAACGACCGTGGTAAATAAACGCCAGAGCCGAAAACCTTCATTATCCCAAACTCTATTTGTTAATTTAGAGTATGGCATTTGGTAAATAGGAACCGCTGACACAGGAGGTATTTGAAAGAGGTCACCGGATAGAGTGACATGAATGCCACCGAAGGGGAGGTCAACTTTACGGGCAGCAAGAAGACCCAAATCAAGCCTCATTAATTATAATTTACTCATCATATTGACTTCATCTATCACAAGCAAAGCAAGCTCTGATGAAAAACCTGGAAGACATTTCAGAGCGGCTGCGCAATCGTCAAAACAATTTTCTGATTCAAGATTATGCATTCCAATCCAACTGTGGAATGTTACGCCAACAATCCCAACCGTCGTTTTTCCTATCATTGCAGATTGACGATCTTTTGGTAGAGAAGCTTTAGACATAGAGGCTATACTCCATGTTAAGTCCACTCCCTAAAAGAAAGGCAATCACCATTTCCATAGTAGGAGGAAGAGCAAGGGAGTTTGTATACCATTATTACCACGGAGTCTGATGATGACTCTACACATACTGCCGATTGAGGATCTACTCCCCCACTTGACCAAGGTGCAAGAGTATCACCAAACCTAACTGTTCAGATGCTGGCCCATACACTCTTAGTCCTCACTTGAGGCAAGCAGTTTCAAGGACAAAAGTCCTCCAGTTCTGAGAGGTCAGGCAAACGTCTAATGCTCCTCAATTGCATAACCACCTAGAAGTTTGTCAAATGTCCGGTCAATCACATGGATGCTTCCTCTTTGCCTTGGAGAGATCTGAGAATCCAGAGGGCGTCTAATAAAAGAGGAACAACAGGGGTGTCTGTCAGAGATGTGAGGGCAACCATTATGTCAAGGATTGTCCCAAACTGAACCACAACAATTGCGGTCACTCAAAAAACTAGACAGGCTAGCAGGGACTGCAACCAGTCTTGCTCGAGAGATGGATCAACTATTAAGCATGATCTTTTTGAGGTTGCAAAAACCCGAATGTTCTCATACGTTGAACCCTTTACTGATGACACCTCATTTGAGGAGGAACTTAATCACCTTTGTTTTCTCCATCTCCAGTTAAAGGAAAATAAAAATAAGAGATTTAAACTGATCATGCTCACGCCTCAATTTAACAGAACTAGAATCAAAGTCTTGCTTGACTGTTGTGCAACAAGGAACTTCATTTCTCATAATGGAGTTCGGAAACATTAATAAGGTCTCAAGGTTACAAACCTTGAGCACCCTCTGGAGATTTAGGTGGGTAATTCCAGTCTGTGTCAGTCAAGCAGGTTGCAAGGGTGTGACAGTCACCTTTGATGATAAAGAGGAAATCAAATAGTTGTTGGACTTCTATGTTTTCCCTCACCTTCCCTTTGATTTGGTTCTCAGTCTGAAGTGACTGCAGGTTACTTACCCTTCAATTGATTGGGCTATGAGCTAAAAACATTAGTCTTAGTTACTCATCATCATCCTATGACAAGTTATTACTGTCTGAAAGCCAGAGAGTTTTACAACTTGTCTAAGGAGACAGACCATTATAATCTATTTGTGGCTTATGTCGCTAAAACAAATTAATATTCCTCCCCTTCTTGAATTGATTTTTCCATTGAACAGGTGGTTGATGAGCTGTGTCGTCGCCCGTACGTCGTACAGGGGGTCCCCGTACAGGCCGTACGGACGGACGTACATACGCCCGTACTGCCATACGGACGCTCCCCGTACGAGCGTGCTACGGGCCTGTGGGGGGGTGCTGGGGGGGGTTTAAGGGGTTGGGGTGTTGGAACAGGTCAGTGGGTGCGGTGCTGTGCTGTTGAAAAAAAAAAAAAAAAAAAAA